TACGAAATGTCCAGTCGTCGAATCAAGTTTCGCGTGGTCGTCGTTGGAGCGAATTCGAGCTTCATCCGACTCTTGGTACCGGCGTATAGTCGAACTTCCGATGGCCGAGGTTACAGGCCACCGATCCTCCTCCGCATCCAAGCGTTTTGCCGGTCGTCGAACGGCTAACGGGTAGAGCGCGAACGATGGAAAATGATGGAGGGTAGAACAGTTCCAGCCGACGTCCCAATTTCCCAGACAGTAACCTGTCCCGCCAGCTGGCACCCTTCGGGACATCAGGCTTTTCCCTCGTGACCCAGCAGCCGGCTGCCTCTGAAAACCCCTCCCCCTGTCTTCCGTCCCCCTCTGATCCTTCCCATATACCACGTCCGAGGGTTATGGTTCGGCATAAATCTACTTATAACGGCCGGCAACTATTCGTCGACGCTGGACTATTTCACGAGGCTCCTCCGTGACATAAACGCGCGGCGTAAATCGTGCCTCTTGGACGGACAGGGGTTGGTTACTACCCGGGGACGCTCTATCTAGAAACGTATCTCTACTTGCCCACGTCGTTGCCCCGCGCTCTTCATCTTCTTCGAACGGTTTTTCGGCGATCGATCCACGCCAGGTTATACTTTCCCTCAGATTAGACTCGACGGTAAACAGAGCTACTTTCCCACGATGCAATTACAACGAAGAAGTTATGAATTCTACGGAGTCTCGAAGAGATCCATCACGTCGAGGCTGGAAATTTCAAACGTAGGACAGCTGTCGACCGGAGAAACTTGGCGCTAATTACTTGGACCACGATTAACCCTCTGATCGTAATATATCATGGAAAGGAGAAAGAGGGAGAGGGGGTTGGTCCGGTGAAAGACACCGGATTAAGGGTAACGAATCGATCCCTACCGCTGGCATCGTTTATCAAATCGAGGAACGATTCGCTTCCTGGCTTCATTTGTTTCTCTCGACCGTTCCAACCTTCCCACTCCTAACGCTCGAATTCCTCGAGTCAACCCCTTCACGCCGATGTAACGAATCGTTTCTCCATCGTCGCGATCGCCTTGTATCATATTTATACCCGTCACTTCCTCGCTCGAGAGAGAGAGAGGAGCTTCTGGTAAGTTTGGTATGCCAAGAGGGTAGGAATACGTATGCGCCTCGGTGGATAGAACCGAGCGCGTAACCCAGTTTCGCTCGCTATCCAGCGGGACGGAGGCCACGCAGTTGGGATGGCGGAGGGAATGGAGGTTAGCCCCGCGTGGCTGCTACAGAGTGTTTCGAAATAAAGTACGGTACATTATATAGCCGGAGTCGTTTCTACACACGTTCGGTGAGACAGGAATGGCGCGGGGTAGGCGCGCATGCGTTCCCCCCCTGGTACACACTCGAATAATTTCAAAGAGAAACAGACAGACGGGCCGAGAAATGTGCGGCGGAGAGAGAGAGGGTGGAACGGGACGGAAGGTGATAAAAAAGGTGATGGAGGAAGGAGGATGGAAGGAAAGGTGGGGTGAGGAAGGAAGAACCACCCCGGCCCCTTTAAAGTGTTATCTTTGAAATTGCGTTCCGCGGGAGCGTTATTAAATTAAGTAAACCGCGAAAAAGTTTCTTTCGGGCTACGCTGCCCGTATACGGGCCTGGGTGTAGTTACAGGCAGAGGCTCACTCGCGGCATATATGGGAATTAATACCGGAGGAAAACCACCACCCAGCGCCCGCTTTCATCCCTTTTCCCTCCCTCCTACACCTTGCTTTCTGACTGCACACACAGAGCCAGACATCGACTTTCTAAACCTGCTTTCCCTCCCGCGCGCCTGCTACTGCTAGACGACCGGCCCGCGTAAAAAGGTACTTTTAATTTTGCGATCGTAATACACGGAAGCAACGGCGGAGCCTCCGACGGAGCAACGGTGGTTAAGACTTCCGGTGGAGGGCAACGAGAGCGCGCGCTTCACTCGAAATGTAAACGTTTCTTCGGCGTTTTCTCCTCTCCTCTTTTTTCTCGCTTTCTCTTTAAAGCTTTTCCTCCTTCAAACGAGAGATGCTGGACAGAGAATGTGTGCGGTGTTGGAGCTTTTAGGAATTTTCGCAGAATTTTTTCCCGCGTTTTACGCGTCGCTCGACGGCGCTCCGGTAACGATAGGAGGAAAGGAGGAATTGTAATTAACGGATCGTTCATTTTCGAGAGGGGTGTAACTAGGAAGGAATACTCGACATTACGGGAGAGAGAGATCAATCTGGGTGTTCACTTAAGCGGTTAATAAAATCTCGTTGATAGAAAGCTCGAAGATACGGTAAGGTTCTTACAACGTTTCTCCTCTCTTCTACCGACTCGGTAATTATCCCGGCGGGGAAAAGTCGGACTAGCCGAAAAACAAAAGTCGTCCCTTTTCGTCGTAGCGACGACGACGACGACGAGGGTAAGAAAAAAGCGGACAACTTTGGTGAAACTTCGCGAGCAATTTTCCTCTAATAAAGGACGCCCTTAAAGCGATTGACTCGCGCAAAGGGTCCGCTTTGATACTACCGTTTCTCCCAACTTTTTATTCCCCGAAAGTTTGACACTTTCGTGAACTGGTTCGTGGAAAAGGGTTTCGATGTCGACCACCCGTAGATGGGATGGGGGGAGGAACAAGAGAAGCATTATCAAAGACGCAAAAACAATGGGAGAGACGTAGAAGCGATCGATCGTGGAATATTCAATCTGTCACGTGTACGGTTCGTTTAAATCACCTGCTAACGTTAACAGCGTAATTCGACGTGTGGCAATGAATATTAATATTGTTCTAACGAGCAACGGAACAAAAATCAGAGGTAAATAATATCGAACAATTCTCTTCAACTGGTTTTCCAGCAGAAAAAAGGAAAGAAGAAAAACGATCCCCTTAATTTACACAATAATAAAGTGCACGCGATCAGGAATTATTAGCAGTAATTTCGCCTTAAATCAAAGTTACCAGAACAGGCGTCGTTAAATCGTAATTATCAGAGATCAAAACGCGCAAACAATCGGTCCAGCGAAAGGGCGGCTTTTACGGCACTGTCCACAGGGGTAACGAGCAACTGTAATTTACCGTTTGTTTTGTATTCCTTTCGC